AGTTTGAAACTACCAGCCATTCTTTAGGTGAAAGATGAAGTTTTCTGCTCCCATAAAGATTTACAGCCTCAGAAATCCTATAAAGGTTCACTGTGAGTCCGAACCAACTCCACGACACATAACCACCACCAAACCAAGGAAGATAAATTTAGAAATATTTAAGTATTTTTTGTTCTTAGAAAACTATTGCAAAATCTTGTAGTCATGGAAAATTACAAGTAATCTACAATATTTAATTACATATTATGTGTCTTAAAACTAGTGTTTCTAATTTAGTACCAATTAATTGCTTGGGGATGTGGTCTCCAAATAAAATAGCAGAATACAGATTGATATTCTACTTACAGATTATTGTTCAATTTATTAGCTATTGCTAGTAGATAAGTTCTTTACACACTATCATTTTAAGCATATACATAAATATATGGTTAACTGCAACATAATTACATTAAAACATTTAATTTTTTGGTCATGGAATAACTACAGTTGTAGTTTATATAAAGTTAAGTTCCTCCATAACTAAGGGAATTATATACTCAATGACTTTCATAATGACAAACTCTGAACAAGTTAGAAATGTTTATCTTTTTTATTTTATTAATATGATAAAAATAAATAATAAATTAGCAAATATTAAGTGTTTAAACATCAAAGGTATTTTGTAATAAATATAAAACTTCTTAAATAACAAACCAAATTTTTCAGATTTATGTACTTTTAAAAAAGCAGTAATCTTAGAATGTATACAAATATTAAACTTTTTTAAAATTTAAGGTCTTTTAAGGGCAAAACAGTTTGTTTTCAAAGATTCCAGTTACATGAAGCATTTTCTGTAGTTGTATTTGCTTTTTTGATGAAAAAAAAAAAATGAGTGCTTAGTCCTTTAGCACTTTTTTTTTTATAACCTGGAGTAGACTGTCCATATAACTGTCTTTCAAGTCATCTTTCTTATCATCGTGAGGTCTCACTAAACCAAGGAGCATGTGTCCACGTCTTGGTTTTACATATTTTTTATATATATTAGCTATTCATAGCTGCTTGCTAGTGGAATTTGTAAAGAAGTCACATTGCTGGTAAGGTGTCCAATAACCAGAGAGGCTTTTGTAGCAGTTTTTACCCTTGACAGTATTTACTGATATAAAAATCTGTAATCATGCAATTGAGTACTACTCTTCACACAAGCAGGCTAACTCTCGGATAAGAGTCTAATATTTATTTCTCTTGGATGAGACTAACTTTTTTTTTTATCAACATATGATGATTCTTCCTAGTGTACTTTTTGCTGGATACCTCATAATTGCTCTAGGCTCCAAAGGTGAACAATTGTCCTGGCAATAAAAGCTTTGCTATTAACAGAACTGGAAGCATAAACTAAGACATCATAAGATAGGAGAAGTGTGAAATAGACGCCTATTGTTTATGCTATTGAGAGCATCCTGACTAAACAACAGCTTGAACTAAGTAATTTACTGCCTGTGTTATGAATAGGATAAAGTTGGGAGGGACAGAAGGGCATGAGAAGTAATCATTTGAAGTGTTAACTAACAGTAGATGTTCTACAGTTTTATAAGGTACAGAGTATTTATAATATATAAACTTTAGTAGCATCACAGCATTAGTTTGTTATTAGGTATTATAAAGGTATGGTATGTGTGTGTAGAAACTATAATGTTGTTTTTGCTAAGTACTGTCGAGTCAGTAGCAACCCTGTAGAGGATTTCCAAGGAGTAGCTAGTGGGCTTGAACCACCGACCTTGTGGTTAGCAGTTCAGTGTTATCCTACAGTGCCACACCAAGACTCCAGAAATAATAATAGTGATCAATATAATGATGTGCTGTTGAGCCTGCCTTCTAGTAGAAAAATCATCCTACAAACTGAAGTCAAAGAAGACTGAGGAAATTAAAAACAAAACAAAGACAGGTTAAATTAAGTATATGACCTGTTAGTAGTTTATATATTTATGTTATTTTATATATCTATATATCTGACTGTTCTGAATCTAGTAAAAACTGACAATTTCCTAGTACCTTCTGGCTATTCATTTTGCAGATGTTCATTTTTGTGTGTGGCAATATGATTGGTTCTATTATCAACACTAATGATAAGAACAATATGTGCTCTTGCAAGTTAACCTCCCACTTTCAAATTTTGTATCACAGTTTTTTTCTAATGAAAAATGTACTCAGCAAAAAACTGAAGTGCTGAATTCAGAAAACTGCAAATTTGATCTCAAAATGTACGTTTTATTTATTAATAATAGAATGAAGAATTTGTCAGCTTATTTTTTATTGGCATTAAAAATATATCATTTATCTACTGTACTCAAAGGAAGGTAAACAGTTTTTATGTTCTAAATTTCTGGAGAAATTTAGAATAAGAATAATGTGAATTTAAAAAATTTACATCAAATATCATGTGGATTCAAGTGTGTAATAAGATTCAAAATCCAGATAGAAAAATGTCTAAAAGCATGCTTCTTTTGTACATCTGTTTAAATTAACTGCTGTGGAGACTTGGATAATGAAAAATGACAATTCAAGGAAGCTTCACAATGTCAAATTTCTGTGTCTAGGATAATGAAACTTGACATCACTTTAGTAAATATAAAAAATATTCACTGTTTATCCTCATGAGTTCTGATGTGGAGCTGTAGGATAAGCACTCGACCCCAAGGTCTGTTTGAACACCAAGGTTGACAGTTCAAACTCACCAGCCACTCCTTAGAAAACCTATACAGGGTCGATATGGGTCAGAACCGACTCCATGGCACTTAATAACAATTTATACTAAAATGTTTACTTTGTTGTTGTTGTTATGTGCTGTGGAGTCGGTTCTGACTCATAGCGACCCTGCACAGGATTTCCGAGGCTGTTAATCTTTACGGGAGCAGAACGCCTCATCTTTCTCCCGTGGAGCAGCTAGTAGTTTCGAACTGCTGACCTTGAAGTTTGCAGCCCGATTTGTAACCACTATGCTACCAGAGCTCCTTTAAAAAAAAAAAATATTTTCTCACCCCACCCCCCACCAGTAATCTAATGGGTATGTTCTCAATATTAGGTTTTCCAAAGCATGTATGTGGAAAAGTAGGAGAGGAAGGAAGAAAAGAGCAAAAAAGAGAAAGGCAGAGAAGAGAGAAGAAAAATCTATTTTGAACACTAGCATCTGCCAACTTTTAATTTTTATCATTTAGTTGTGGATAAATTCTTAAACTGATAAGGAAATGACCATGATAAAAAGCAAGAACTTTCTTTATGCATAAAAATGCAAATCCTAAACCAAATTCCTACTATCAATGCAATTATGATGAACAATCCTTTTTATTTTCTCTCTTTTTGAAATGCTCTAAGACATTTTCAGGAGCTCTGGTAGCGTAGTGGTTACTAATTGGGCTGCTAACCTCGAGGTCAGCAGTTTGAAACTACCAGCTGTTCTGCGGGAGAAATATGAGGTTTTCTGCTCCCTTAAAGATTTTACAGCCTCGGAAACCCTGTACAGGGTCACTATGAGTCGGAACCGACTCCACGGTACATAACAACAACAAGAAGGCATTTTCAGACAAACTTATCATCAGACAAATTTTTCATCAATGAAGGACAGTTAATTTCTATGCCTCCAAAAGTGAAAGTGCCTTTAGTACTGCAATATAGTAAAATATTCTTATCACAATTTATATTCTCACTACAATTTCTACTCTCCCTCAGTCCAACTAAATCTCTCATTTTCTTTACATATTGAACCCCTTCTTGCCAACCATGTGAGAATTTCCCATAATTTATATCCTACTTCTGCTGGTAATTTCCCTATCTTTGAATGTTCCCTATCTTTTCATTGGCTCCAGGGAGGTGGTAAAACAAAAACTTGGGGAAAAGAAAGACAGCTTATGAAAAGTCCAGTGGGAAGGGGTGTGTCTTCAGAAGCGAATTGATCAAACTCAAAGAGAAGAAATTAGGAGATTCAAGAGGGTACCAGAATTATTTCAACCTCTTAGGTAGTATTACTTTTGTGTGTGTGTGTTTTTTAATGTTTCATTGTGAATTATGTGATAATTTACATGGGAGAACATTAGTTTTACATTCATCCTATCGTATATCCTTTCATTGTCATAGTTAGGCAGTATTACTTTTAAAGTTTTAATTGTAGAGTAATGGTGGCAGCTGCTAGCCAGACTGAAATAGTCCTGAGCTTCTTGGAGCCATTTACTTCAGTAAAGAGAGGACCCTTTCTGTCCTGGGCTGCTATAACTATTCAGGCTTCTAGTTCTTTCAACAAGCCCCACTTTCTGAGACAGAGAGAAAGCCTTTAGGAAGAAGTGCAAATTCCTTGTGAAGATTGTTCTGGCAGCAGAATAGCTTTATTTCATCTATATTTCCTTATTTGCAACATTTTACTCTAATCCTCAAGAAACTATAAAATATTATTTTATTATATTGAGACAATATTCTTAAAGAATGATATGTATATATATGTACATTTTATATATGAATATACATATTTCCTTTGGTTTTGAGCTATTCTTGCAAGCATGAACAAAATATATTATTCTTTGTAATTATATGTCAAGAAGGTGGCAACAAATGTGGTTTACATTCTATACATTTCTATACATTCCAAAACACCATACTGCAAATCGTCACAAAATACTCTAGACTATATACAATCTAAGCAAAGAAAAGGGACACATACTATTTAGTGAATTTGGGTCTGCTTTAACTATAAAACAATTTCTTCTTGCTTCAACAATCCATTGTCCAAGAGTAGGTTGTCCCCAGATTCTTGGACAGTTAATGTCCATTTCAAACAGCTTGTTTTCCAGAGAATCTCAAAACATTCTTGAATTTCCCTGTTGTCTTTACATTAATAATGTTTAAGCCATTGGGAATTAGTAGGTTACTTAGATTATAAAAGTCCCAGAGAAGCTAGCCTTTGGGTGTGAAAAAATAGCACTTTTCTAATTGTTAGTTCAGGAGGGTACTCTCTTAAAACACGATTTTCTGAGTAGTTAGGTAGAGAGAGTATTCATGGCCAAAAACAGGACCTCTTTATGAAAATTAGCTTGTGCATGCACAAGATGGAACAAATTAAAAAAGCTTCTGTCGTCTTCATCATGATCTCCTATATCTCATGCACAGAAATAGATGGTAGGGAAAAGAAAACGACAGTTAAAATTTTACAAATATGATTGATCTGAAACATGAGAGTACCAATTTTCCCTAATATTATTTTGATAGAAGACTAATTAATGACCTTTACTAAGTCAAGTTTTAGCTATTGAAATCATGATAGTATATAAGAATGCTGGATTTGAAAACAGAAGAATAGGTTGCTGGTTCATGTTTTACTGACTATGACCTTGGGCAAGTTGGTGATTTTTTTTAAAGTCTTGATTTTCTCTTCTATAAAATAGGAAAAATGATCATGTTGGCAACTTAATAAAACTCTGATATATATAAAAGTATGCTGAAAACTGTACAAAACTAAGATATTGTTAGGATGATTATGATCTTTATAAATGAGCAAGTTAAAGTTTTTCCTGTGCAAGACTGAAATTGAGTATTTTCAATGTAGAATCTTAAACTTTACATTTCGATTAAAATCAAACAATTTAAAAAATGACAAAAACCAGGAGCTAAGTATATCTCATGAAATGCAAAGAAGATATGTCTGCATATTCTCTTGTTGTTAAGTGCCATTGAGCCGGTTCTGACTCTACATAGGATTCCCAAGGAATAGCTGGTGAGTTTGAACCACCGACCTTACAGTTCAAACTGACATTTTGGTCAATTGCTTATCTTACAGGACCACACCAGGACTCATATTCTATTGTTAGTTCAGAAAGCCAAGTCTACACCGAATGCGCTTTCTTAAGTGGAGGCTAGGGTGCATTTTAACTCAGCCCTGTGAGCCATCTATCAAGTACTCACCAGACATCACTGTCTGCATCATCTCCATGATAATACATGCAAAAGCATTTGCCACACTCTGCAGGAAGTGAGTTCTTTCCACTGGACTGCTAAAGACTTTACAGACTTTTTGCATCATTTTAACTGCCCAGTCCATGCAGTATAATTCCTTCTCGCACACCTGAGTTAGAATTAAAAAAAAAATATTGACAATGGTTTCACATTATTTATTACACATGATACGATACTATATTGAGTCTATAAATGGAATATCTAATACTCCTTTACTTTCAAACAGTACAATTTTAGTGGAAAAATGTGTGGAGTAAGTAAAAGCTTGGTTCAAAATGACAAAGTATGCTTACTTATTAATGTATGTAATAATATGTAAAACACTTACTGAACATATGAAAAAGAAGATTTCTATTCATTCGTTCATTCAATAAATATTTATAAACAGCACTGGGGAGTCCTGGTGCGGTGCTTTGGATGAATGCATTGGACTGCAAGGTCAGTTCAAGGTCACCAGCTGCCCCTTGGAAACCCTATACAGTAACAACAAGCAGCACTAGACTACTAACCACAGGACCCGTGCCTTGAACCACCAGCTGCTCTGCAGGAGAAAGATGAGGCTTTCTGCTCTCATGATTTACAGCCTCGAAAACCCTATACAGGGTCACTATGAGTTGGAACCCACTCCATGGCACTTAACAAAGTATCTGCTAATAGCTGGAGATACAATGATGAACTTCAAAGACACAGTTCCTATCTCAAGGAGTCCAGCGAGAGAGGCAGACAAATGGACAATTTCAATAGGCAGAAGAACTCCGTTTTACTAACTTTCTATCTTCTGACTTTTAAGGGCTATTTAAGGGTTACCATGAGTTGGAACCGACTCGTTGGCACTTAACAACAACACTCTCTCCATTACTTAGAGGGGTCCTGGTGTGGCACTGTGGGATAAGCACTGAACTACTAACCACAAAGTCAGTGGTTCAAACTCACCACCAGTACCTCGGAAACTCTATCTAGGGTCACTATGAGTCAGAACTGACTTGACAGCACTTAAAAACATTATTTAGAGGGTAAACATTAAAAGTAAAGATTACATATTCAGGACTAAAACAAACCGAAAGATAAAAGGTTTATTTATTAACATTCTTAATGGTCAATGTAACTCATATTGTGGAATAATAATGGTGTTGTCATTAGGTGCCATTGAGTTGGTACCCACTCATAGCAACCTACAGCACAATAGAACGAAACACTGTCTGGTCCTGCACCAACCTTACAATCACTGCTACACTTGAGCCCATTGCTGCTGCCACCCAATCCATCTTATTGGGGGTCTTCCTCTTTTTTGGGAACCCTCTACTTTACCAAGCATGATGTCCTTCTTCAGGGAACAGTGCCTCCTGATAACATGTCGGAAGCATGAGAGACAAAGTCTCTCCTGGATTCTAAGGAGCATTCTGGCTGTACTTCTTCCAACACAGATTGATTTGTTCTTTTGCCAGTCCATGGTACTTTTAATATTCTTCCCCAACACAACACAAATGCATCTTCTACAGTTGTCATTATTCATTGTCCAATTTTGGTATATATATATATATATATATATATATATATATATGTGTGTGTTGTTAAGTGTTTTAGAGTCAACTCTGACCCATAGCAACCCGGTATAGGGTTTCTGAGGAGCAGCTGTTGAGCTTGAACTGCCAACCTTGCAATTCACATGGCTTTGCAGTCTGGCGCATTAACCCACAGCGCCACACCAGGACACTCTCTCTACTTAAAGCTGTTGAAAATACCATGGCTTGGGTCACGCATACTTTAGCCCTCAAACTGACATCTGTGCTCTTGAACACTTTAAAGAGGTCTTTTGCAGCATATTTGCCTAATGCAATACGACGTTTGATTTCTTGACTGCTTTTTCCATAAGTGTTGATGGATCCGAGTAAAGTCAAATCTTTGACAATGTCAATCTTTTCACCATTTATCTTGATGTTATTTATTGGTTCATTGGTGAGAATTTTTGTTTCCTTTACATTGAGGAGCAATCCATACTGAAGGCTGTGGTCCTTGATCTTAATCAGTAAGTATTTTAAGTCCTCCTCACTTTCAGCAAGCAAGGTTGTATCATCTGCATATTGCAGGTTGATAATGAGCCTTCCTCCAATCCTGATGCCACATTCTTCTTCATATAATCTATCTTTTTGAATTATTTGCTCAGCACACAGATTAAATAAGTATTGTGAAATAATACAACACTTTTCCTAATTTTAAACCATTCAGTGTTCCCTTGTTCTGTTCAAATACTGCCTCTTGGTCTACATACAAGTTACTTATGAGCACAATTAAGTGTTTTGAAATACCCATTCTCTGCAATGTTGTCCGTAGGTTCCCATGAGTCACACAATTAACAGCCTTTTCATAGTCAATAAAGCACAGGTAAACACCTTTCTGATTTTCTCTGCTTTGAGCCAGGATCCATCTGACATCAGCAATATTCTTCGTTCCACGTCCTCGTCTGAATTTGGCTTGAACCTCTGGCAATTCTCTGTCAATGTACTGTTGCAGCCATTTAGAAATTATCTTTAGCAAAATTTTACTTGCATGTGATATTAATGATATTGTCCAATGATTTCCGTGATACGTTAGGTCACCTCTCTTCGGAATGGGTACAAGCATGGATCTTTTCCAATCACTTGGCCACAGAGCTGTCTTCCAAATTTCTTGGCATAGATGAGTGAGTGCCTCCAATGCCACGTCAGTTTGTCGAAAGATTTCAATTTGTATTCCGTCAATTCTTGGAGCCTTGTTCTTTGCTAATGCTTTCAGTGCACTGGTTCTTGATCATATGCTACCTCTTGAAATGTCTGAACATCAACAATTTCTTTTTGGTACAGTACAGTGATTCTGTGTATTCCTTCCATCTTCTTCCTCTTTTTTTTTTTTTTCAGTTTATAGATACAGTTTATTGTTTACATACTATTTTAAAATTTTTATTTTAAACTTTAAAAAAAAAATTCTTATTGCAAATTGAGTGAAGGTTTACAGACAAGATCATCAGTTTTACATTCAACAATTCATACTTTGTTTCATCCCAATGGTTGCAATCCCCTCCATGCAACAAAAGTTATCTCACTTCCTCCCTGTGGTTCCTATTTCCATTCCACCCTCCTTCCCATCCCTTCTCAACTTTGTCCTTAGGTACATGTTGCCCCTTTGATTTTGTATCATTCATAGGGAGCATCCCTTACTACTACTGTTGTTTCCCTATATATCCATCTACTGCTCCGCTGAAAGTTGGACCATGAGGGTGAGTTCTAACAAATACTCTTTACTTTAGTATCTAGTCCATATTAAACATTTTACCAATAAATCTCTAAATGTTTTTGTATTTCTTTTATTTCATACAGGATCTAATCAAGATCTATATATTGCCTTTGTTGTTATGTATCTTAATTTTCTCTTAATCCTGAACAATTAATTCCTTTGACCTCCTCAGCCCCTGCCTATTTCATATCTCTCATTTTATGTCTCTTAATTTTCTTTTAATTCAGAACAATTCCCTTGACCTCCCCAACCCCACCTTGTCATGTCTTTAAATTGTGAAAGAGAGTCAGTCATCCTGTAGAAGTTCCATCTTATGTATTTGTTGGGTTGCTTCTTGTGGTGTTAACGTCATCTTTTGTTGCTGAGGTGCTGTGAGTGGACCTTCCATCTTCTTTTGATATTTTCTGCATCATTCAATATTTTGCCCATAGAATCCTTCAATATTTTAAGTTGAGGCTTGAATTTTTCTCTCAGTTCCCACAGCTTGAGAAATGTTGAGCATGTTCTTCCCTTTTGGTTTTCTACTGCCAGGTCTTTGCACATTTCATTATATTATTTGACTTTGTCTTCTCAAGCTACCCTTTGAAATTTTCTGTTCAACTCTTTTACCTCTTTATTTCTTCCATTTGCTTTAGCATCTCTGTACTGGAGAGCAAGTTTCAGAGTCTCTTCTGACATCCATTTTGGTCTTCTTTTTTCTTGACTTCTTAATGACCTTTTGCTTTCTTTTTGTATGATGTTCTTGATGTCATCCCACAACTCTGCTGGTCTTCAGTCATTAATATCTAATGCATCAAATCTGTTCTTGAGATGACCTCTAAATTCAGGTGGGATATGTTCAAAGTCATATTTTGACTCTCATGGACTTATTTTCATTTTCTTCACCTTCAATCTGAATTTGCTTTATGAACAATTGATAGTCTGTTCCACAGTCTGCCCTGGCCTTGTTTTGGCTTATGATATGGAGTTTTTCCACCATCTCTTTCCATAGATGTAGTTAATTTGCTTTCTGTGTATTCCATCTGGTAAAGTCCATGTGTACAGTAGTCTTTCATGTTGCTTAACAAAGGTATTTGCAATGAAGAAGTCATTGGTCTTGCAAAATTCTATCATGCAATTGCCAGCATTGTTTCCATCATCAAGGCCATATTTGCCTACTTGTCTCTAACCTTTGCATTCCAATCACCAGATTAATACAAGATGCATTAATCAATACATCTTGATTGCATGTTTGATCAATTTCAGACTGAAGAAGTAGGTAGAATTCTTTCAATTTCATCATCACTGGCTTTAGTGATTGTTGCATAAATTTGAATAATTGTTGTATTCACTGGCCTGCCTTGTAGGTATGTAGATGTTATCCTATCACAGACAATGTTGTACTTCAAGATAGATCTTGAAATGTTCTTTTTGATGATAAACACATCTCCATTTCTCTTCAATTTGTCATTCCTGACATAGTAAATCATGTGAGTGTCAGATTCAAAATGGCCTATACCAGTCCATTTCAGCTCACTAATGCCTAGGATATCAATGTTTATGTGTTCCATTTCATTTTTTACAATTTCCAATTTTCCTAGGTTCATACTTCATACATTCTATGTTCTGATTACTAAAGGATGATTATAGCTGTTTCTTCTCATTTTGAGTTGTGCCCCATCAGCATATGAAGGTCCCAAAAGCTTTACTCCATTTGCATTGTTCCAGTCAACTGTACTAGAGGAGGCAGCTCTTCCCCTGTTATATCTTGAGTGCCTTCCAACCTGAGGGGCTCATCTTCTGGCACTAGATCTGACAATATTGTGCTGCTTTTTATCATGTTTCAATATTCACTATTCTACTGCTATCTAACAGTGTTCCACTGCTATTCATAAGTTTTTCAGTGACTAATATTTGGAAGTAGTCCATCTCTCCTTTTTCCTAGTCTGTGTTAGTCTGGAAGTTCAGCTGAAACCTGTCCACCATGGGTGACCCTGCTGGTATTTAAAATACTGGTGGCATAGCTTCTAGAATCACAGCAACATGGAAGCCTCCACAGAACTACAAACTGATAGTTGAGTAGTGCAAATAAACTACATACTAATATAACAAAGGAGTCCTGGTGTGGTGCTGTAGGATAAGCACTGGACTGCAAGGTCAGTTTGAATTGCAAGGTCAGTGGTCAAAGCCCACCAGCTGATTCTTGGAAATTCTATCTATACAGGGTCGCTATGTGTCAGAACTGACTTGAGGACACTTTACAACAATATAACAAAATATGAATATGACAAGTGGATTTATTGAATATCTATTATGTGTAAAGCATTGTATCAGGCACAATTAAAGAAATAAATGACACAGTGCTGGATTTCAAAAAACTTGGCATCTATTTTAAGTGATGATTTATCCCATACATACAATGATTAAAGAACACTATATTAGTAAATGAAAATAAAGAGAAGACAAATCTGAGGTAATTTAGAGAAAACTAGTGATCAGAGTTGAGGTGTTAAAGAGAAAGGTGATTATGAGAACATTTTTCTCTTCCTAGTCACTACCTTTATTACATTTGCTACAATGTGGCTGAAGTGAACTTCCCAAAACACAAAATTAATCATGCTTCTCCCCTTTTTTTCAATAGCTCTCTACTAGAGGGCAGGTTCAAGCCTACAACGGCCTTTCCTTATTTAGCTTCTCCCTTCCTATCTAGTTTTGCCTCCTATACTCTTGTGCACATTTTACCCTTCAGAAATAATACTGAATTGCTTCAGTTCCCTAAATATATCTACCCTGTTCCACTTCTCTGGGTCTTTGCACATGCAGTTCTTGTTGCCTTGAATAGTTTACCATCTGCCTGGTGATCTCCTCCTGTTCATTTATAAAATAAAATCCCTATCTACTGGGGTTTGGGAAGCCAACTCTGCTCTTTCTCCACCTCAGATATTCCCTCCTCTCTGTTATCACTGCATCTCTTAAAAAAACCTACTTCTGCACTTATCTTACTGAATTTTAATTGATTTATACATATCTTGATATCTCTTAAAGGACTGTAAACAGCTTGTGGTTAGGGACTGTTGTTGAGTGTTGAGTTGGTTCTGACTCAAAGCGACCCTGTATAGAGCTTCCAAAGCTTTAAATCTCTGAAGGAGCAGCAAGCCTCATCTTTTCCTACAGACTGGCAGGCAGGACTCTAACCACGAACCTGGTGTTATAGTCCAGTACTTACTGTATGGAGTCACTTGTTGTTAAGTGCCATCAAGTCAGTTCCAACCCATAGCGACTTATATAGGATTTCTGTGGAGTGGCTGGTGAGCTTGAACCACCAACCTTGCAGTTCAAACCAACCTTGCAGTCCAACGCATTAATTCACAGTTCCATACCAGGATTCCACTATGCATGGAGCCACTACGTACCATTAATTTTCATAGCCCTAGAATCTTACACAGTCTCTGTATGGCCTATGTTGTTGTGTGTCATTGAGCTGGTATAGAGTTTCTGAGGCTATAAATCTCTATGGTAGCAGAAAGCCTCATCTTTTGTCTGAGAAGCAGTAGGTGGATTTGAATTGCTGACCCTGTGGTTAGCAACCCAAAGCATAACCCACAGCACCACCACAGCCTATGTTGTTGTTGTTAATTGCCTTCGAGTCAGTTCCAACTTATAGTGATTCTCTGTGTGGTTTTCAATGAGTGGCTGGTGGGCTTGAATCTCTAATCCTGTGGTTAACAGTCCAGTGCTTATCCTACAGAGCCACACAGGCCTATGATAAGCACTTAATACATCTGTGTTAAAGGAATGGGTATTAAATATACTATTTAGTTTTTTATTTTGAAAAACATTTTAATTATAAAAAGGTGGTGGCCATGGAGTTGGTTCTGACTCATAGTGACCCTGCACAGGGTTTCTGAGGCTGTAAATCTTTACGGGAGCAGAAAGCCTCATCTTTCTCCCATGGAACAGCTGGTAGTTTCGAACTGCTGACTCTGCGGTTCACAGCCCAATTCGTAACTACTACGCTACCAGTAATGGGTAGTATAATGAATCTCTAGTATCTACCTCCCAACTTCAACTATTACTAATCTTCTTGCTTTAGTTCTACTTCCATTCACTTCCACACCTCCTCCACCTATACATTATTTTAAAGCAAAACAAATAGGGTGCTTTAAAAAAAAAAAAAAGTTTTATTGTGAATTATGTGATCATTTACATGGGAGAACATTAACTTTACATTCATCCTATCCTATATCATTTCATTGCCATGGTTACAATACCCTCCATGCATCATCAACCAACCAAAGAGTATACCCTGAAAGCCTAACCCCCAGTTGTCAGCATACAGCCCCTCTCCCTCTCTGGACCTAGAGTCCCCAGCCACTCTATCTCTGGCATCACTGTTTCTCTGGGTAGGGTCCCGCACTTCACTCTTCTCTCTTGATGGTCCCAGGGACCTCCACTCCTCAACTACAAAGTCAATGACTCCCCTCTTTTTGCTACAAAATGTCTACCTTTACATTCCCAACCCTCACAGACAGTCCTGATAACAGTTATTCACTATTGTACCACAAGAGACCTATCCCCATCTCCTTTCATCAGCCCCGCCCAAACAGATTAGATACTACTCAGTGGAGATTTTACCTTCCTTCATGCCCTTTGGATCTAGGCTCCCTCTTGAAAGCTTGTAAGCCAGTTACTTCTTGTCTTTATAGCCCAAATAGGGTGCTTTTTAAAAATGAAATTTCTTTGCATCTGTGTGTCTTCTGTGGGCCTGGGTTAAGTTGCTCCATTGATAGGGCTACCTCTACCATAGGAGCTTTCCTTTAGTTTTCTATCTTGTTGTTGTCATTAGGTGCTATTGAGTAGGTACCAACTCAGAGCAACTGTATGCACAACAGAATGAAACATTGCCTGGTCCTGGGCCAACCTCACAATTGTTGCTTGAGCTCATTTATGCTGCCACTTTGCCAGTCTGTCTCATTGGAGGTCTTCCTCTTATTCTCTGACCCTCTACCTTACCAAACATGATATCCTTCTCCCATGACTGGGCCCTCCTGATAATATGTCCAAAGTATGAGACATGAAGTTTGGCCATCCTGGCCTCCAAGGAGCACGCTGGCTGTACTTCTTCCAACACAGATTTGTTTGTTTTTTTGGCAGCCCATGGTACTTTCAGTATTCTCCTCCAACACCATAACTCAAATGCATCAACTCTTCTACAGTCTTCCTTATTCACTGTCCATCTTTCGCATGCATATGAGGTTATTGAAAATACCATGGCTTGGGTCAGGGGCACCTTAGTCCTCAAACTGACCTCTTTGCTCTTCAACACTTTAAAAAGGTCTTGTACAGCAGATTTACCTAATGCAATACGTCATTTTATTTCTTGGCTGCTGCTTCCATGAACGTTGATGGCTGATCCAAGAAGAATGAAGTCCTTGACAACTTCAATCTTTTCTCCATCGATAAGAATGTTGTTTATTGGTCCAGTGGTGAGGATTTTTGTTTTCTTTACATTGCGATATAATCCATACCAAAGACTATGCTCTTTGATCTTCATCAGTAAATATTTTAAGTCCTCTTCACTTTCAGCAAGGAAAGTTGTATCATCTGCATATCGCAGGTTGTTAATGAGTCTTCCTCCAATCCTGATGCCATGTTATTCTTCATATAACCCAGCTTCTTGGATTATTTGCTCAGCATACAGGTTGAATAAGTATGGTGACAGAATACAACCCTGTCGCACACCTTTCTTAATTTTAAACCATTCAACATTCCCATGTTCTGTTCAAACAACTGCTTCTTGGTCCATGTACAGGTTCCTCATCAGCACAGTTAAATGTTCTGGAATACTCATACTTCTCAATGTTGTCTATAGCTTGTTGTGATCCACACAATTGAAAGCCTTTGTGTAGTCAATAAGGCACAGGTAAACATCTTTCTGGTATTCTCTGCTTACTTGGTGAAAATTCTCCAGAATTTTGTCTGTGAAGAGCTGTTATCAGGAAGGTTCCTCCATTATTCCTTACTGCTATTTCCTAATTTATCCCTCAGGTTCCCAAAACGAAGCCGACTGCCATTTGTCAAATTAATAGTGACCCTATAAGTCAGAGTAGAACTTTCCTTAAATAGATTTTTTTTAAAAGAATGTTACTTGGCAGAGCTGTATAATGACAATCTAGACATGAAGTAGGGAGAGGATAACATAAGGAATGCTTCCAAATAAGATAGTTTATTATACATATATTCTAAAAAAAATTTTTAACGGACAATTAAAACTTTAAACTTAAATATTTATTATTTCAATGTTTTATGTATATTCAATTGACTTTTGTGTTAGACACCATACTAGAAAAAAACTTTGTTTTTACTTACCAAAGACAAAAAGACTATCAGCCTTGCCAGTTCAATAGCCCGTCCATTCACAGCTTTACTAGCCATGAAAGTGAAGCATATGTTGTTCCCACTTAAAATTAGGAGGCGTGCATTATTCTCTAGAAGCCACTCATGGGGAACCACTTTTATTAGAGGAAGAACAGTTATTCAATGAGATACCACACAATGGCTATAGTTAACATTATTAAATATATGAAATATTGTATCATTTTATGAGAAATACAATTAGTGCCAAGGGAAAAGGTCAGGAAAAAATGTTTTAATTTTTTTCAATTACAGCATTCAACTGGAGATAGAGATTATTGCCATGCCATGGTTGCTTACAAAGTACTCAAAATATAGTTACAGTAATTTTTCCATAGAAAACTAGGTGATCTAATAATGCTATGTAAGGAAAGAAACCTTATACACTTTAGACTCTAAAAGATTATTCAGGAATGGGAAAAATTGTTTCACCTCTTCTGTGTCAATTGAAGAGGGCTTTCACAACCTTGAAGGGTGTTTCTGAGAACTTGCAAAATGGGAATAATTAAGCTAATTAAACTATGAAGCTTTCAAAAGTAATAATACAGATAGATATAAAATTAGTAATTGAAGGAAAGTTGATTATAAGGTCCCTGGGTGGTGTCAATGGTTAAGCACTCAACAGTATGAACCCAGAGAGGGACCTCTGAAGACAGGCCTGATGATCTGCTTCTGAAAGGTCACAGCCTTGCAAACCCAATAGAGCACTTCTTCTTATGGAGTCACCTTGATAATATGAATTGTCTTCAAACATAAAGCCAAAATTTTCAAATATTTTAGAGCACTTGGTGAATTCATTTGTTATCTGTAGGATTATCATTACAATTTTATAACCATATTCTAATTAAAATTTTCTATCATTCTATGTTGGTAAAGGTATATTTTTACCTGATAGTTCATCTACAAGACTGATGACATCATCTGCTGTCCACTCTTTAGTGTCTGTGTCATATAGCAACTTAATAGCATCAGCTAAACCTTTTAGACTGGATTCATCTGCAGGTCCTTCTACCATTTTCTGCCAAACCACCTGGCCTGAATGATAATTGAAATAAAAACTAGGCTATGACAGAATAGTTGTCTTTGTGATACAGCCTTCATAGATTGTTTAAAAAGGGAATTGAATTGAAAGATGGAATCCCATTACTTATATACACTACTTTCATTTTAAGTTTCATAATGGAAAGTCAATTCTGATCATAATAAATTTTAGTGCCTTTAATTGGTGCAATGAAGCACAGCAACAAGCAAAAGCTTAAATGAAGTAAAGAAAAGGTAGTTTCACCAAGCAAAATAGTGCTTTTAGTTCAAAGGCAATGCAATTGATGTAATCTTAACCAAAGTAAATGAAACTTACTGATATACTTTCTAAAAGAGAGCATAATATATTTGAGACTCTTCCAAATATTTGTATCAGAACAGAGTAATTCCATTCATTTTGATTCTTTACCTATGACCAATTTTCTTTGTGGAATACACACAACAAAATTTTCATACTAGGTCGGCTTCCTGCAGCTACTCAGCAGGAAGTCTCCTAACATAAATCAATGTGAACTAAAGAGATACGTGCTGATTCTAACAATCTAAGCAAAACTTAATTAGAACATCAGCAAATATGATAGGAATATATTTAGTAATGGCCTACAGTAGAACAATTCTGCCTTGAAGTTTAGGCAATGCACAAGTTAATGTAGCATATATCTATGAAATCATGAGATACCATTTAGTCATTAGGAATGATGAAACTAGGCAGGTATACAGAAATATATTTCCTTAAGTGAAAACAATTAACAACCTTGAAAAATGGATGCTTACCATCCTGAGGAGATATTGGCCCAAAAATGATATACAGTAATCTTGCCTGATTCACCATAGGCCATGGTTTTAATATACGAGTTAACCAAAAAGCACAGTCACTGCGATGAGTCCAATGATCAAGTAGGACATTCCTACAAAATAGCCTGATCCTCAACTCCAGTTTCCGGGCACTTCCTATAAAGACAGAAGTATAAACTCATATTCCTAGAAGGACTGATATGCACAATGGATAATGATCAGAGCAACTATTAACCACTGTGGTTAGTGATCTTAAGCAGGAAATAACCAAAAGATTATCTGTTCTTAAACTGCCCCAAATTCGTGGTTTTGACTGTCTACGTATGTACATCTGATACTTTCAATAATTTTTGTTGTTGTTAGGTGTCATTGAGTTGGTTCCAACTCATACCAACCCTATGCACAACAGAACAAAACACTGCCTGGTCCTGTGCCATCCTCACCATCGTTGTTATGCTTGAGGCTCATTGCTGCTACCACTGTACCAATTTATCTTGTTGTGGGTCTCTGAATAATAGGTCAATCAAAACTCATACTTGCTCAACAGAATCACAAAATATTTTGGATTTTAAAACAAATTCCATATGCAAAGAAACTGTATATACATCATCAATGTGTTTTATATATTTTTATATAAATTTTTATATAAAAAATTTTATAAATTTTTCTTCAAAAAATTTTGGATTCTGAAGGACCTGCTTATTCAGCATTTATTAAGGTTCTTTTATTGTCTTCATGTATCCACTTTTGCCTTTGTCGTATCCATTTTGTACCCCAAAACTGGAGTGGTCTTCTGAAATGTAAGTCTGAACCTATCTTGTTTTCCTGAATGGGAGTAAAATCTAAACAATGGTTGCAAGATCTTTGGTGATCTAGTCTTTCGTCACTCACCACTCCCTTACTCTGACTTGGTCAACCTGGTTTTCGACAGTATTTGGATCCCTGGTGGTTAAAGGGCTCAGCTGTTAACTGAAAGGTCAGGAGTTCAAATCCACCAGCTGCTCCATCAGAAAGAGATGTGGCAATCTGCTTCCATAAAGATGACACCTTGGAAACCCTGTGGAGACAGTTCTACTCTGTCCTATAGGGTCACTCCACCACTTGTCTGCTGGTTTGTCATACTGTGGTGGCTTATGTGTTGCTGTGATTCTGGAAGCTATGCAATGGGTATTTTAAAATACCAGCAGGGTCACCCATGGTGGATAGGTTTCAGCTGAGCTTCCAGACAAAGATAGACTAGGAAGAAGGAGAGACAGACTACTTCCAAATATTCAGTCACTGACAACCTTATGAAAACAGAGGAACACTGTGAGCACCAGCTTATTGAATATTTAAACACAATGAAGAACTGGAAGATAAACCCCTCAGGTTGGAAGGCACTCAAATGTGACAGGGAAGAGCTGCCTCCTCAAAGTAAAGTTGATCATAATGACATGAGTGAAGTAAAGCCTTCGGGACCTTTATTTGCTGATGGGGCACAACTCAAAATGAAGACAAACAACTGTAAGCATCCATTAATAATCACAACAGAGTATGTACAAAGTATGAATATAGAAAAATTGGAAAATGTAAAAAATGAAATGGAATGCATAAACATTGATATCCTAGGCATTAGTGAGCTGAAATTGACTGGCCTTGACCATTTTGAATCTGATAATCACATGGTTTACTATGCCAGGAATGATAAATTGAAGGAAAATAGTGTTGCATTCATCATTAAAAAGAGCATACCAAGATCAGTAATGAAATACAACACTGTCTATGATAGGAAAATTTCCTTACACCTATAAGGAAGATGAGTTAATACCACTATTATTAAAATTGACACACCAACCACTAAAACCAGTGATGATGTAATTAAAGAATTCTACCAACTTCTTCAGTTTGAAATTGATCAAACATGCAATCAATAATTATTGGTGATTGGAATGCAAAGGTTGGAGACAAAGAGGAAGCATCAATAGTTGGAAAATATGGCCTTGGTGATAGAAATGATGCTGGAGATCGCATGGTAGAATTTTGCAAAACCAATGTGACTTCTTCATTGCAAATACCTTTTATAAACAACATAAAAGATGACTATACACATGGATTTCACTAGATGGAACACACAGAAATTGACTAAATCTGTGGAAAGAGACATTGGAAAAGCTCCATATCATTAGCCAAAACAAGGCCAAGGACAGACTGTGGAACAGATCAATTGCTCATATGCAAATTTAGGCTGAAGTTGAAGAAAGTTAAAACAAGTCCATGAGAGTTAAAATATGATCTTGAACATATCCCACCTAAATTTAGAGATCATCTGAAGAACAGATTTGATGCATTAGACACTAAAAACCAAAGACCAGAAGAGTTGTGGGATGACATCAAGAGCATCATACAAAAAGAAAGCAAAAGGTCATTAAGAAGTCAAGAAACAAGAAAAGACCAAAATGTATGTCAGAAGAGACTCTGAAACTTGCTCTCCATTGTAGAGAGGCTAAAGCAAATGGAACAAGAGAGAAGGTACAAGCACTGAACAGAAAATTTCAAAGGTCAGCTTGAGAAGACAAAGTTAAATATTATAACAAAATGTGCAAAGACCTGGAGTTAGAAAACAAAAAGGGAAGAACATGGCAGCATTTCTCAAGCTGTGGGAACTGAGGGAAACATTCAAGCCTCAACTTGAAATATTGAAGGATTCTATGGGTAAATTATTGAATGATGCAGAAAGTACCAAAAGAAGACAGAAAGAATACACAGTCACTGTACCAAAAAGAAATGGCTGGTACTGTACCAAAAAGAGATGACCAGTATTCAACCAATTTAAGAGGGGGCATATGATCAAGAGTCGATTATCCTAAAGGAAGAAGACCAAAGTGCATTGAAGTCACTGGCAAAGAAGGCACCAGGAATTGATGGATTACAAATTGAAAAATTTCAACAAACTGATGCGGCACTGGGGGCTCTCACTCATCTATGCCAATAAATTTGGAAGGCAACTACCTGGCCAACTGACTAGAAAAGATTCATATGTGTGCCCATTCCAAAGAGAGGTAACCCAGTGGAATGAGGAAATCATCAGACAATATCATTGATATCCCATGTGAGTAAATTTTACTAAAGGTAATATAGAAACGGCTGCAACCATACATTAACGGAGAACTTTCAGATGTTCAAGCTGGATTTCGAAGAGGACGTGGAATGAAAGATATCACTGCTGATGTCAGATGGATCTTGGCTGGAAGCAGAGAATACCATAAAGATGTTTACCTGTGCTTTACTGACTATGCAAAGATTTTTCGATTGTGTGGATCATGACAACCTATGGACAATATTGTAAAGTATGTATATTCTGGAACACTTAATTGAGCTCATGAGGAACGTGTACATAGACCAAGAACAAAACAAAGGAACAATGAATGGTTTAAAATTAGAAAAGGTATTTGCCAGGGTTGTATTCTTTCACCATACTTATTCAATCTGTAATGCTGAGCAAATAGTCCAGGAAGCTAGAATACATGAAGAAAAATGTGGCATCAGGATTGGAAAAAGACTTATTAACAACTTTCAACATGTAGATGATATAACCTTTCTTGCTGAAAGCGAATAGGACTTAAATACTTACTGATGAAGATCAAATACTACAGCCTTCGTTATGGATTGCAGTTCAATGTAAAGAAAACAAAAATCCTCACAACTGGACCAATAAATAATATCCATATCAATGGAGGAAAGCTTGAAGTTGTCAAAAACTTCATTCTGCTCCGATCAACCATCAACATTCATGGAAGCAGCAGTCAAGAAATCAAATGACATATTGCATTAGGCAAATTTGCTGCAGAAGACCTCTTTAAAGTGTTCAAGAACAAAGGTATAACTTTGAGGGCTAAGGTGTGCCTGACGCAAGCCATGTTATTTTCAATAACCTCATATACATGTGAAAGTGTGACAGTAAATAAGAAAGACTATAGAAGAATTACCAGCTGTTCCATGGGAGAAAGATGAGGCGTTCTGCTCCCGTAAAGATTTACAGCCTCAGAAACCCTGTACAGGGTCACTCTGACTTGGAATCGACTCCACGGCACATAACAACAACAACAATAGAAGAATTAATGCATTTGAGTTATGGGGTTGGAGGAGAATATTGAAGGCACCATGGACTGCCAAAAGGACAAACAAATTTGTGTTGGAAGAAGTACGGCCAGAGTGCTCCTTGGAAGCCAGGATGGCCAGACTTCATCTCTCATACTTTGGACATATCATAAGGAGGGACCCGTCACAGATGGATAGCACGTTTGGTAAAGTGGAGGGTCAGAGAAAAAGAGGAAGACCTCCAACGAGATGGACTGGCACAGTGGTGGAAGTGATGGGCTCAGGAGTAGCAACGATCGTGAGGTTGGCGCAGGACTAGGCAGTGTTTCATTCTGTTGTACACAGGATCCCTATGAGATGGTACCAACTTGATGGCACCTAACAACATAGGGTCACTATGAGCCAGAATCAACTTGATGGCAAATTTTTGTTGTTGTTGCTTTTTGTAGTGCATAGCAAACTGTTTTGTACCTTGGAGTCTTCATGTACCTTATATCTGGCACCTTGTACTTGAACTTTTATGATGGCTGGCTCATTTTTAATCTTCAGGGATCAGCTTCAATATTAACACCTCAGATATAATCCTAATTAAAGCTAGCCATTCTTCATGCTGGTTTTTATGTAAAGAGTACCTTGCTTCCTTCCTTCACAACCTGTAATTATTTTGTTTATTGTTTTTCTCTCAATTAAAATGCAAACTCCAGTAAGAAAGGTTCTAAATTTTTCTTGTTCATACAGTCTGACATGTGATAGATCTCAGGAAATCTTTGTTGAATGAATAGATATCCCAGGCACTAATGAAGAGAATACAGGTTACTAAACTTCTAATAATAATAAAAAATTAATCTAGCCATAAAAAAGTATAAATAAAAGTCCTTTTCTTCAAAGAGTTTACACTTTGCTAAGTAGAAAGAACAAGGATAAATGCAAAGTCTACTATATGAGGGTGCTTCAAAAGTTTGTGGAAAATGAAATGAAAGCTAATAGTGTTAGTCCACAAACTTTCTGAAGCCCCTTCGTACAAGTGCTCCTGGTGTGTTAAGCCAAGGGCAACAGAAATTTAGGAAAATAGTAAATGCAGTCCTGCAGAGATTAGGTAAAGCTCTGCAGCAGTGACTGGGTAAACTAAGTATTAAATGATAAGAAAAGGAGCTCTGGTAGCATAGTGGTTATGAGTTGAACTGTTAAACTCAAGGTCAGCAGTTCAAAACTACTAGGCATTCCACAGGAGAAAGATTTACAGCCTTGGAAACTCTATGCAGGGTGGCGATGTTGATGAGTAGAGAAGAGATGATATTTCAGGAAACAGGCAGACTATGAAAAAAGGGACTGAGGTAGAAATGTGTAAGGTGTGCCTGAGATACACTGAGTAGAGCAATATGATGATGTCATACTGATACAAAGGGGCAATATGAAAAGTAGTTTGGAATCAGAATATGAAGACCAGTATAATTAAGATTGGATTGTATTAAGAAGACAAAAAGAAGCTGGTAAAACTTTTTGCTCAAGGTAGGGACATGATAAATTAATTCTGTCATTGTTTCATTGGGCTTCCAAATCTACCTTTCTGACCCATAATTTCCTTTATAATGAAATATTTCACCCTGGCATTAAAACAAAGGTATTATAAAAATTCTGCATATTAATCATCTAGCTCTGTAAAAGCTATTTTTTTTGTTACATTTGCTTCTGATTTTTAAAAATAAATAAAACATTATGGAAGCTTCTTGTATATCACTTTCCAATTCTATTCTCCTTCTCTCTAGAGGTAATCAACCTCCTGAATTTGGGTTTTATCACTCCCAACTAGGTTTATATATATATATTTATATATATTTATATTTATATATGTATGTAACTATAAAGAATATGTATCTATATAATCATAAAAATACACAGTACTATTTTTAATATGTATATAAATGATATACTGAAAGTATTCTTCAACTATATTTTTTACTCAGCATTTTCATGAAATTTATCCATATCGATACACATGGTTCTAGTTCATTAATTTTAGCTGAGGATTTTAATTGCATTGTTGTTGTTGTTGTTAATTGCATTACTATACTGCAATTCATTTATCTAGTATCCTGACAATAGACATTTAGATTCTTTTGATGGTGACAAATAAATAATGCTGAAACGATCATTCCTGTACATGTCTCCTTGTGGAGACTGGACATTTCTCAGTGTGAAAATGCTACATTGGAGGGTTCCATAATTTTAAGAATAAGAAACATTTTAGGTATATAGAAAGGATTACAGAATACTATAGTGAATACCTTTGTACCCCCCACCAATAAAATAGTGTCAATACAGTTGAAACCCTCTGAGTACTTCCCTTTCCTTTATCACATGTCCTTTTTTACACCCTTATCCAATTAAGTGTTACATTTCTTTGTCCTTTTATGAAATATGTATGTCATCATTTTTTATTATTTATTTTTGTCATCATTATTTTAAAACACACTTTGAACTCTCTCTCTCTCTCTTTTTTTTTCTATTTTAATCGCTCTATCATACTTTTTGTGAATTGTAGTTCTTTACCTGGTTTACTACAGACAACAGTCTGCATCTTGCGGGAGAGACTGGTCAACTCACATAAGAAGTTATAAACACGATGGCACTCAAGTTCATCCCAACCTGCTGTTAAGGTCTGAGGATAGTAAAATAAAGGAAAAAATGCAGATATTCAGACCACCAAACTGAAATGTAACTGACTGCTTCAGGAGCATAACTTATAGCACACAATCAAGGTGATATGTAATTTTCATCGACTATGGAACTGTTCAAATTAGTAAGAAACTACATAAGAACTAGAAATGCTCCAAAATCCAGTTATTTTTAGTTAGGAAGGGAGTCTCTTTTCAGAGAACTTTTAAATGATACTGAATCCTGAACTCTAACTCTTCAAAGAAAATAACAGTGTAAAGCCACAGCCCTAGAACATGGCTTTAGCCATCAGACTCACAAACATACTGTGGCTTCATTTTAGAGTGGAAGCACCAGTGACTACAGTAGGACCCTTTTTGCTCCCTCTAGCTGTATGGCACTGTACAATAAGCCCTGCACTGCTAACGAAAGGTTGGGGGTTCAAACTCAACACCCACTCCTTGGAAACCCTATACAGGGTCACTAAGAGCCCGACTTAATGGCAGTTAACAACAGCTATCATTTATGATATTGCTTGCAAATGATAATGCCATTTTTATTCTGCAATTATTAGCACTTATTGATGACATTTTGATGTGAACAAAATTTAATAATTGTCTTTGAGCAAATCAGAATGGTCAAACATATATGAAAAGGAGATCCAAATGCTAAACTACTATAATTAGATCTTGAAAGGATTATTAGACACATACATTCTTCTTAAAATAGTTGAACTGGATACTATCTATTAAAAAATTAATCTTATTTTCTCTGTAAGCATACACAACAAACTGGTAGCTGTTTACTTTTGGAGAAAGGAACTGAGTGGACAAGGAACAGGTCACAGAGAGAGGTTTACTTTTCACTTTTAACATTTTACACTTTTATTTGAATACCATTTTGAATTTTACATGACTACATATACATGTATTACCTGTTCCTAAGATACTGAAAAAATAAAATAAATCTAACTTGGAAAAGAAGACTACTGGAAGGACCTAGGCTTCTGGAATCTAGGCATGTAGAAGACAGGCTGAGTTTACATAACCACATTTTCCCATATGCCAGTGCTTGATGAAGGAGAGATACAAAGACATTCTGGTGCTTCAAAGACCCCAAAGAAGAAGGCAAGCCATAGAAGGGGTGAAAGCAATAGCCCCATAGAGCCTCAAAGATATGAGAATTGAGGGGAAAACACATTTCTCCCCTACAAGAATTATCTTCTTACTTAGAAGCAACTTAAAAAAATTAGGTCCTTAAGTATAGTCCTTTATACTGTTTTTAAGAAACAGTATGGTAGTGGTTGAAAGTGTTGACTTTGGAGTTCCACCATTTACTGACTGGCTATTTAATCTTGGGCAAATTACTTCCCTCCCTGTGTCTGGGTTTCCTCAGGTGCAAAATGAGGATAATAACTACCTACCTCATAAGGTTGTCACAAGTTGTTACAATTACTTAATACATGTAAACAGCTTTGAATAGTATCTAGAACATAGTAAGTAAGGGCTCAATAAATGCCAGTTATTATTATTAAATTCTTTGCCTACAATAAAAGATAAGTCCGAAATGTTTGTGAAGTTGTATAATTGATTTTTAAAATCACACTTTAAATTAGACCCAGTCTTTAAACTCATTACGTAGATTTTTTTCAAACCCGCAATATTTCTAGTTTTTACAAGAGTTCTACAAACTTAGAGAGGGCATTGGTGTAGAATAAATGTTAAACATTTATCACTAGAGATAAACCCAAGAAGAAAAACTGAGTAGTAAACATATTGTTAGATTAATACATTCCCAAATCTTTTAAGATTGTACTTTGTTTTCTTTAAGATTATTATTACTTCTATTGACCTGTGACAAGATCTACATGCTCTACTCTTTCATTTTAAAAAGTACCTGTAAAAACATGCCGTAACATGATAATCCTAAACACTGCAAAGGAGTTGCACAGCCACTGAATTTAAAACATGAAACCTGTAACGAGAATGACTGTTAATTCTTCCTTTTCAGTGGAACAGTACAATAACTTGACATTCAAGTTCAATGAAAATAAGCAAGATTTTTCCAGTCTGTATTTTGCTTTATACAGATTAGGATAACAAAAGAAGTATAAAACAAAATGCCTGCCCTCAAGAAGCTCACAATTTATTTAGGAAGCTTATATACATGTGAAATTATTGTAATAACTCAGTTATAGAATATATATAAATACTAAAATGACTGAATAAACACCATTCAGACAGAGTAGAAAAACAGATAAAAGATAAATTTGGAAATGATCAAGACAAAGATTACTTGTTCAATGTCTTAAAGTATGGTAGGATTCAGTTAAAATTAATAGACAGAATTGTTTGAAGGAAGCAATAAGAAATAAATTATATGAAGATATGATTAAACAAGGCTTATTCAGGTAAGAACGATATGAGCAGCTTAATGAGGTTCAAAGCAGTAAGAAGTATGATTGCATTATCAGGGAGAACTCTAAATGCTGCTATAAAGTTTAGATCTTCTCTAGATGAAAGAACACAGGCACTAAAACACTTTAAAGTAAGAAAGTTAATTTGATGAAAGTGATGTTCTAAGAACCACTTTAGAGTGCAGAATGACTTGAGGAGGGAAAAAGGGATGGCACAAGAATCAGCTGGGAAGCTGTTGCAATAGTATAGAACTGAACACAATGCAAAAACAGACATGAAAAAATCTGGTATTACTGAGCACAGAACTGAATCACCAGAATCGGGGGTCTGGGTTTGTTCAATAAAATTTAGAGAGTATAGCCAATGTTGATATACATTTCCAAGTCTATCATCATAAAAGTCTTGTCATTTATGTATTATAAATAATTTCTTATGATTTTTAAATACATTTAAACAATAAGATTTTAACATTCAGAAATTGCACTTTAATAAAATAGCTAAACACCACTTTCAAATTTCCACAGGATTCCCATGTGGGGTAAAAATACTTTTATATTCTAAGATAGCTACTAAATTTGAATGATATATTTAGTTACATATAAAATTTGTTTTGTAATAAGTAAGACTATTATACTGTATTTAAGGCATCCTGTTGGCAAAAAAGTTAACTATTTGGCTGCTAACTGAAAAACTGGAGGCTAGAACCTACCAGTCATTCTTTGGGAGAAAAGTCTGGTGATCTGCTTCCATATGACTGTTGTTTTGTCAAGTCTGTATATAGATTGTCGCCTAGGAAAACCGATGAAGCAGTTCTATTCTGCCCTAACGGGTCACTGTGAGTTGGAATCGACTCAAAAGCAAACAGCACAATACTTTATTTTGGTGTTCTATAATCTCTAAGTACTTGGTAAAATATTAGATTATCATCAGTTAATTGGTTGTATTTAGTAGTAATTAACAAAATTCTATTAATTAAAGAGATTTTAAATTAGTCTCTAATCTTAATAAAATATCTTTATTGGAAGTTTGTAATTTTATTTAGAACTATGATCTTACTTCTCCAAGTGTCTTGTGAATGTATTTTAGCCTTTCCTTTGTGGGTAACAGCAATGTGCATCTTTTAAATAGTAGACCTGAGAAAGTAAAGAGACATACATGAAAGGATAACAACACAATTAATTAGAAAATATAAATAACGCACAGCAAAACTTTTCCTGAAAGTCAGGGATGGTATATCACAGTGGACTTTAGCTGATAAGTTTGTCTATTTATTTATGCTTAATTGTGATAGAGTATATGTAACAATGCATTTGCTCTTTTAACATGTACAATTCAGTGACAATAATTATGCTCTCCACATTATACAATGATCACTATTGTCCATTTCACAACTTTTTCATTATCTTTAACAGAAATTCAGTACTCTGTAATCAGTAACAACCAATTTCCCCCTCCTACTCACCTGTTGTGTTGTTGTTAGGTGCTATTCAGTTGACTCTGACTCATAGGGGCCCCACGCACAACAAAATGAAACACTAGCCTGTTCTGCCTGTCTTCACAGTTGATATGTTTGAGCCCATTGTTACAGTCACTTCTTCAATCCATCTCATTGGGGGTCTTCCTCTTTTTTTATGACCTTCTACTTTCCCAAGGATGATGTCCCTCCTGATAATATGTCCAAAGTACATGAGATGAAGTCTCACCATCCTTGCTGCTAAGGAGTATTCTGGCTATACTTCTTCCAAAGCAGATTTGTTTGCTCTGGCAGTCTATGGTACTCTCAATATTTTTCTCCAACACCACAATTCAAATGCACCAGTTTTCCATTCTTCCTCATCCATTGTTCATCTTTCCTGAAAATAGCCTGGCTTGAGTCAGAATCACCTCAATCTTCAAAATGGTTATCTTTGCTCTTTAACACTTAAGTCTTCTACAGCAGATTTACCCAGTGCAATATGTCATTTGATTTCTTGACTGTTTGCATGTATATTGATTGTATATCCAAGTAAAATAAAATCCATGACAACTTCAATCTTCTCTCCATTTATCATGATGTCATATATTGGTCCACTTGTGAGGATTTCTGTCTTCTTTATATTAAGTTATAATCCATACGGAAAGCTGTCTTCTTTGATCTTCATCAGCGAGTGCTTCAAGCCCTCTTGGCTTTCAGTAATCAAGGTTGTGTCATTTGCATATCACCAGTTGTTAATGAACCTACTTCTAATCCTAATATCATGTTCTTTTTCATATAAACCAGCTGCTCAAATTATTTGCTCAGCATACAGATTGAATAAGTATGGTGAAAGGATACTATTCTGATGCACACCTTTCCTGATTTAAACCATGCAGTATGTTATCCCCTTTGTTCTGTTCCAATGACTGTCTCTTTTTCTATGTACAGGTTCCATAAGAGCACAATGAAGTATTCTGGAATTCTCATTCTTTACAATGTACTCCATAGTTTGTTATGATCCACACAGCTGAATGTCTTTGCATAGTCAATACAACACAAGTAAACATTTTTCTGGTATTCTTTGCTTTCAGTCAAGATCTATCTGATGTCTGCATTCTCTTCTGAATCCAGCTTGAATTTCTGGCAGTTTCCTGTCTGTGTGCTACTACAGCTGTTTTTAAATTATTTTCAGCAAGAATTTACTTGTATGTGATATTAATGATATTAGATCATTTCCACATTCTTTTGGTTTCCCTTTCTTAGAAATGGGCACAAACATGGATCTCTTCCAGTTGGTTGACCAAGTAGCTGTTTTCCAAATTTATTGACATAAACTAGTGAGCATTTCCAGGGCAACATCAGTTTGTTTTTTTGCTAATGCCTTCAGTGCAGCTTGGATTTATTCCTTTAGAGTCATGGATCTTGGTCATATGTTACTTCCTGAAACGGTTGAACACTGGCCAATTACCAATTCATTTTGGTACAGTGCCTCTGTGTATTCCTTCCATCTTCTTTTGATGCTTCCTGTTTAGTTCAGTATTTTGCCCATAGAATTCTTCAATATTGCAATTAGACGTTTGAATTTTTTCTTCAGTTCTTTCAGCTCGAGAAATGCCAAGCCTGTTTTTCCCTTTTGGTTTTCTAACTCTAGGTCTTAGCACATTGTAATATTTTACTTTGTCTTCTCAAGAAGTTCTCTGAAATTTTGCTCGACTTTTTTATATTTCTTTCATTTGTTTTAGCTACTCTATGCTTACTTAAAATCAAGTTTCAAAGTCTCTGACATCCATTTTGGTCTTTCTATGTTTTCTGTATTTTAATTATCTTCTGTTTCCTTTATGTATAATGTTCTTGATGTCATCCTACAACTCCGCTGGTCTTCGGTCATTAGTGTTCAATGCATCAAACCTATTTTGGAGATGTTCTCTGAATTCAGGTGGGATATACTCAAGGTCCTATTTTGGATCTTATGGACTTGTTTTAATTTTCTTCAGCTTCTGCCTGAATTTGCATACGATTAACTGATGGTCTGTTCCATAGTCAGCTTCTGATCTTATTTTGGCTGATGATATTGAGCTTTTTTCAATGTCTCTTTCCACAGATGTAATTAATTTGATACTCATCCCTGGGAATCACTAATAAATGCATCTATGCATTTGCCTATTCTAGATTTAAGTGTGATTATACAATATTTTTCCTTTGTATCTGATTTATTTGACTCAGTATAATGTTTTCAAGGCACATTCCTATCATAGCATGTCAGAACTTTATTTCTCTTCATGGATGAATAATATCTGGTATGGTTTTTATAAGGGAAAGTTTGGGAGGAAGAAAGAAGGTTTACCAAGTGACTCTGATGTCCATCCAGGAGGCATTGGCACGAAACCTTGCAAACAAATATGAAACTGATACTATGGGACAGATGTGAAAAAGCATTTAGATTTATAAACAAAATAACAAAACATGAAAATATACTAGGGAAACCT